TACGACATGATAGTAGATTCTTCACACCTCTAAGTGTACTTGCAGTGTAACAGAACAGATAATAAATTCAATGCATGATAGAACATAGCTTCACCTGTGGCACTGTCAGTGTTGTAGTGTCACTCATTGCATTCTCCATATAACTTGACTGAACATCCAGATGTTCAAACTGTTGTTCAAACTTGTCCATCAGAGCAGACACCTGTTGTTAAATATTCAACAATCAAATGAAGGGGAGTTATTAACTATTCTAGAATCATGGATGAGTTCTGGTAAATTGAAGAGAAACTTATCCTAAATCCTTGAGGGGACCTGTATTAGATTTATTCTGACTATTGTGCAGGGGTTTGCAGGACTAGCGTTGGATACTTAAACCATACTTTGAAAACCAAAAACAGATTATCAATAAGCAAATGAAGGACCAGAGCTTCCATACAGCTTTAGATTTTTTGTAATACAGACACACCTTTTCTAAATTCATGGATTTCATTGCTGAATCCATTGACTTCACTACACCTGCCATTGAGCCTGTCACCTGGGAATTACAAAGTAACAATAACACAGTCAGTATCAATCACAGTCTAAGAGATTGAACTAAATAGATTTAAAGACATACTTCATACTTCAACTTGATATTACAACCAGTAATTAAAGTGATATTGGAATTATCATGCTTTGCATATTATAACTCAACTTATATTAACTAACAATTATACCTGTTTCATAGTTACAGCACTCTGCACTCGTGATGCAGTAGCATCAATTCTTGAACTCATTCGCATAAAATTCAGAGCCTGCAATGAAAATGATTATTGAAATCTCATTACATTCCTATTAAAGGATAGCATACCTTCTTCAATGAAACTTTTAGCGAGCTTTAATTGACCCAAGGTCTTCATAACTTTTAAGTTAATTTCCATGACTGGTCATTATACATTAAACATTTCTTAAGTGTATATTCAATTTTGTACTATTTTGAAACAAAATAAACATTGACTTGTCTTGTCTCTCTCATCCTAATCAATTTATTAGTGCTGAAATACAAAAACATGGGTGAAAATTACTAGAAAATATGGTCCAGAGGTTATCTTTAAATACATCTTACATAGTGTCTCATAGAAAGTTTTTATCTCTAACACTACCACTACTGATTATTTGATATATAGTCAGAATTTGATAAATGGTTTGATTACCTGATTCTTTTGTCTTATGGCATTTTCTGCATGTATTTTTGCTCCCTCTATATTCCCTTTTTGGATAGCCTGAAGATAACATTTACAAGTTGTAATAGTTTTCAGCAGAAATCAAATGTAGAGAATACAGGATGTTAACCAAAACAAAATTTTACAGAACCTCTATTTTGAGAGTTGAAAAAACTATTACTTTGGCTCAAGGACTGATTGAGGCCATGCATGAAATATACAGCTTGAGTAGGCGTCCAATGGTTTTGATTCCAGCCGTGTTTTTCAAACAGCTGAGTTCAATCATAAAATACCCGATACCTTTTTTAACTTTAGTTTTTCCGCTTTTTCTTCTTTTTCACACTTCTTGGATTTTCTTTCTAAATCCTTTGCTGCAAACTGATATATTAAAATGTGGTTAGTATTATTTCAATTGAATTTTACAAAACTTCTAATTAGGAACCTCAATCGTTCAAATTTGAAACAAATATACTCACCTTTAAATTAAAAAGATGTTCTTGAATTTTGAAAGGCAGAGTTAAGGATCAGATATAGCTCATAACAGTGACAAACTACAAGTCGAACCCTTGATTTTGTCTCAGAAAGGGCATATTGCCATGTTCACTTTAGTGTTTTGTGTCTTTCTTAAATAGAAAGTCTGAACTTGGCTCGGACAACTTACATAGAATTTCAGAGTGAAAGAACTATATTAAGTCTATAAATGAGAATACTATACAATAAAAAGAAAAAAATCAGACATTAGCTACAGCAAACTAGTGGAGCAAGTTGCAAGTATTCCTCAATATCTATTCTGTCTCTGGAGAGTGTCCGATTGGTTGTTGGTCAAGGATACTTTCCATCTGGCTGGCCATGATCTCTAGATTATTCAGCAAGAAGAATGAAAGTTCAAACAACCAAATCTGCTCGTAACTCTTTGAAAGTGGCTTTTCTCAGCGAATCGATTTCGAATTTCCTCTACTGTGTTTTCATCTCCAAAATGGTCGTGTGATGTCATTTGTGAGCCGAAAGTCGTAGGACCAGCAGCATCCCACGCTATGACGTTTGAGCTGTTCGTTCCCAGTCTACTAAATTACAGCTAAAATCCAATATGGCTGACGAAACGCGGTTGACCTTGAAAGAGTTTTAGTTTTATTCCTCTTTTGATTGTTTGTCAGCAAACCTCCTCGATCATGGCGCTTCGTTGGAGAAATTCTCCTTGCTCTCTGCTTTTGATGAGAAAACCAAATGATTCGCTTAGGAGGCACCTCAGTTCTCAGGTTGATCTACGAAATATACGCTTAGCTTGTGTTGAGTTACGAAAGATTAAAGGGCTTATCGAGAAATTAGGCAAAAACTCGCCATACAAGCTCAATGTAAGGCAGAAATTTTCAAGCCAAGTCAGTTGCGAATGAAACATTAGCATGAAAGCACATTCAAGCCATCACACCGTTATCTTTCCCCACCCCCTCAAGACGATCTCCTTTCCCCTTTCCTACCCCCTTCCTTCTCTATTATAAATGGGGGAAAATCAGTTGATTTAGATTCATTATTTTCTTTCCTAACAAAAATTTAATGTTGAGGTAAGGAGAGAAGAGTATGAATGAAAGATAAATATCTCCCATCTTACCTCTACAGGACTCCCAAGAAAGGAAAGTCATTTTTTCTGGAATCCAACCCACTGGAACAATGCACATTGGAAACTACCTGGGGGCAATTAGGAACTGGGTCTCATTACAACATGGAGAAAAGGACATGGTCCTGTACAGCATTGTGGATCTACATTCCATCACTATTCCACAAGATCCTGTGAAACTGAGACAGGGTATCAGAAATATGGCTGTATATTTATTGGCTTGTGGAGTGAATCCAGAGAAAAGTATCCTCTTTCAGCAGTCTCAGGTGAATTTGCTGGACTTTTACTGAAATTTTTAGACCGATGGATTAACAACCCTGTTTGTTGGGTAATCCGCAAATTACAGGGTTCCTCTTTCACTTGAATGTGTGTTCTTACTTGTATTGATATACATGAAAAAATTATGAGCTTCTGATTGGTTGATGACTAGTGCATTTTTCATGTAAAAGAGTGCAGATTCAAAGAACAAGTGCAAAGCTATAATACAAGTGTAAATTACAAATAACCCAGGTACACTATCAAAATTCCGACTGTTTTTTACTTTCTATGATGCTTTTTTTCATATAAACTATTTATAGGGAATAACATGATTTCTTGTGCTATTTGGTGTAAATAAGTATTTGTAAATTTTTCAAAGACTACAAATTGTACTCTCCCTAGAGGTTTGTACAATTTTGTTGTCTTTGAAAACTTTACTCATGTCTATGAACATCAAATTGCACTTGAAGTCATGTAAACCAACTACTCTCTCAGTGTCTTGGCTATTTTTCATGCCCAGCTCCCCACTCAAAACCTGATACAAAGGTAAAAGTGTCAGGCAACTGAGAAGTTCCAAGAATATTGTTTATATAGTTTTTTTTTTAAATGGGTTGGCCACACAAAACTTGATTAGAATTTATAATTTGTATTTTTTGAACATTTTCTCAAGGTCTCACAACATGCAGAGCTTGCTTGGATTTTAGGATGTATGGCCCGCACAGGGTTCTTAAATCGTATGCATCAGTGGAAGGTAACAATAAAAGTAAAACTGAAATCTTTTATTTTCAAATTTGTAATTTATCTTTCTTGCTGCAACTATTTAGTCAGTAATGATATGGCTTGGTCCTACAAACATATAAGGGAAGTATATGAATTAAGGTTAATTGTCAGAAAGTTTTGAAGTTGTTAGCCTTAACATAAAGTATAAGGCAAGATTGCCATCTTTTGCTTATTAGAAGCATGTGAGGAATACCCAGTTGAACAGAGTAGGCTGACAGCTTTTGAAAGCCTTTGCATGGCAATATAAGAAATGTTAATTATTTCCTCGTGTGTTTGGTTCTTTATCTCAGACCAAAGCAAGTGAAAACAGAGAAAAAAGTTGTTTGGGATTATATTCATATCCTGTGCTAATGGCAGCTGATATTCTTTTGTACAAGTGAGTTTCTCTAAAAAGTAAAAAACTTGGATCATGATATTTTAACTTACCTTTTGGAGTCTTGTATTTCATTAAGAAAACAAATTAACAATATTTTATTTTCTTCCAGGGCAAGTCACGTCCCTATTGGTGAAGATCAGGTGCAACACTTGGAACTTGCCAGAGAACTTTGTCGTCAGTTTAACAACACCTTTGGAAACTTTTTTCCTTTCCCAAAAAGTATTCTAGGTATTTTCAACTTAGATTACTTGTGGTATGCTAGCTGGAATGTATTGTTGTAACTTGGTACTTGTCTGACCTTCGAACTTGTAAAACCCTCCTGGTAAAGTAATGAGCATGCAGAGGAATAGAAAAAGACCTTGTTCTTTCTTCTTTTTTGCAGTAGTTCATTTTAACATATTTTAACATAGTTAACATATTTTTTGTTATTTTTATAACTCACACTTCACACTTGTTCCTTAAAGTTTTTGCAAAAATGCCCAGGAAGCTGACATACTATTACTTTCAACAGACAATTGTCCTCGGGTGATGAGTTTACGGGATGGCAGCAAAAAAATGAGCAAATCAGATCGTAATGAAATGTCAAGAATTGAACTAACTGATTCCGCAGACCTTATTGAAAAAAAGATTCAAAAAGCAGTAACAGACTCTGAAGATCACATCAGTTATGATCCAAAAGCAAGACCAGCTATGTCAAATCTGATCAATATTTATGCTGACTTCAGTGGGTTAACAACTCAAGCTGTGTGTGGGAAATATGACAACATGGAAAAATGCAAGAGTGTATTTAAAGCTGATCTTACAGAGCTTGTTGTAAGCAAGTTAACTCCTGTGCAGGAAAATATTATGAGGATTCAACAGGATGTGGCATATGTAGATAATGTTCTACAAACCGGTGCAGATCAAGCAAGGAACATTGCAGCAGTAAACTTATTGACAATCAAGGAGATGCTTGGGCTTCAATGATTGAGTGAATTGTCATAGTCACAGTTCCCTGAGCTGGTGCTCTAAATTAAAACAGACATTTTCTTAAAACAGAGAGGCCAACATTACAATGGTTGGTGGCCAACCCAATTTGCAAACATGCAGAGCTTGGGATACAAACAATTGCAATTTTACTTGAATGATTTTATTTTATTTTATTGAGAATGGTGAACATTTTTTGTTATACTTATCTCTAAATCTTTATCACCAAAATGTTATTACACATCACAGCTGTAAAGGTAATTTTCATGACCAACCAATATAAATTTCAAATATTTCTTGAATATTATTTTCAACTTTTGAACACTATCAAAGAAACTAAAGACTGTGTTTTCTTGTCTCTCACACTCTTAGATATGTCGATGTGTCTACAATTCTCCATGTCTGACAGTCTGACAGGCTCATGTTCACCATAAAATCATCAGGTTTTCAAAATTAATTAGGAAAAATTTCTGACCTATCCTATTGGAAACCATGCCTGCTAGTCTAAAACATTCACCAAATTCCCACAGAATACCTCATGCAAACTTAATGAAAGTGTTTGATCTTTGATTAGAAATACCACGCAATTCCAAATCTTAGGATTGTTTTTGAGTGGACACATTTTCTGAGCTTGTGCATGCCATAAAATTGCTAGGCCAATTTTCTAACTATTAAGTATCAAAAACCTAACTTACTCTACAAATTGAAGCCACAAAGGAAACAAACATTACTGAACTGCAAAATGAATACAGTGTTCATGTCACTCATTAATATAATCATGCAGTAACAATCATTATACTAATTTGTAACAAATTTTTATTGTGAAAGAATTCTTTTATGCCAAAAACTTTTTTATTCATTCTATTGATAACTTCATCCAGTCACTGTTGAGTGAATTATTTACTACTTAGCAACAAACTGGTTGTTACAGAGGGAGTAAGTTTCTAAAGAAACTGTGGTGTTGCGCCGGTGGGAGAGTATAATAGGGTAATTTAGTGTTATCAACTGAGTTGAAAACGTAAATTGGCCTCTGTAAGGCTGATGTTTTGAGTGTTAGCCATTCATCAGAGCTCTGACGAATGGCTAATGCTTGAAACGTCAGCCTTTAAACTCTTTATGGTTGTCCATTTACATTTTCAACCAAGTTGTTAACACTAAATTACCCTGTTAAATTGGTTGTTATGTTAAGTTTTTAAAAATTTATTTTTGTCTGTTGCCTCCATAGAATATACAAAACACTTAAATTACAAAAAGGACCATCATTTTTGCCGTATTCCATTATACATTTAGGAGAGTAATAAAAATTGTGGTGCATAACTCCACTTTTTTATTGTCAGAGGTAACACTTATTGCAGTGAATGTTTCTGTTCAATTTACAATCACTATGTACCAATTTATTCTAAAATGGTTCCTGATTCCATCCAAATTACAGCACCAACAACAAATCTTAAATTATAACTTAGTAATTGAGGTGGTAGAAATAACTTTTGATTGTAAGTTCCTTACCAGCAGTAGCTTGTGTGAATGGAAAAATGCATGTGTGCAACAAAGAAAACCTTACGAAATTTCCTGAATATAACATATTTTGTTCATCAGTTAAGGCTTATGAAAATAAAAGCAATCTTTGCAGTAATGAACACCACTTAAGCAGCTGTGGAAACTGGTAGAGCACTGCAGCAGTATGGCAGAGCTCATGGAGTCAAATCCTATACATGACTGAATTTTTTCTGACCTTATTTTGACTACTGCTTTTATCTTCATTTCTTAAACCACAGTTTACATGATGATTTTCATATATTCACAGTCATAAATTATAACTCAGTCACATTTTTTCTCCTACAAAAAGCAACTTTGAAGCTGATGCACTGATTTAGAATTAATTCAATTATTAAGAAGGACATTAATAAATGAAGATTCAAATAAAATAATTCATTAAAAACAAACACTGGCTGTGCAATTATGTGAAAGGAAAGCAATCCTTAGACATAAGATACAGAAAAAATACTAAGGTAGATAACATCTGCAGCCATGCTATAAATATCACATGACCTTATATAGGACAATTTTCTGTCCATTCCCATAATTTTAATTACATAGTTACTAAATTTCATGCCATGCTATCACATTAATATTCATAAACTGAAATTAGAGTCTTGTTAGAATGGGAAGGAAGGAAGGAATACAGAAGTTGATGTGAGGAAACAAATTCCCTAAAACCAGGAAAGAAATAATTTTTGATTTTCTATAACTGCAAATATCTGAATTATTATATACACTGTACACTGTTTGTGTGTTTACTCTGTGGTCAGTCATCTATACTGGCTACTTAGTGGACAACCAGGTATCAGAGCAGGTGGCTGCCGTTTCATTTCCTCTAGCTGTGACTTCAAATTTTTGTGAAGCAAAAGGAGATTTTCCTACAGACAAAACACAATTGAACAAGAACAATAAGACATCATATTACTGATACTATTATTCATTCACACTGTGACTGGTGATCAAATCTCTTTCATGCAAGGCTGAAGAACTTTATAAAATAATTACCAAGAAACATATAAAATCATTAAATTCAACGTCACTACTTAAGTCTGTGAAATCACAGGATGTCTTGGCAACTGCTCATGTCTTTTTTTCTCTTGTTTGTCTTCTGTTTTTCATAAATTTCTTCTGGTTCCTGTTCTCTCTATTTAATGATTGTAAACAGACTAAGTGGCAACTGACCTTTTCACTCGTCAACATTGCAAACTCCTCTACATATTGAGCATTAACTTGCTGTTCTGTTTCATATTCTTCCAAGTCTTTTTCAAGTTCAAGCCTGTGGGACAAGTTAGAATAAAGCACAGTTAAATAATAATTCCTAAACTGAGGTTACCAAGATGATGAAACCCAATTGTAAAGGGGTATATGCTCTAAAGAAAGGAACGTTTTTGGAGTCACAATCCTTAAACGCTATGATGTAATTTACCATCCAGCATAATGAAAAGGGTATCATATGGTCCAGAAGCCATCAATAAGGTGTGGATTTGTGGCCACTAACATTTGATATTACATCTATTAACAAAAATTCAAGATCAGAGTAAAATATATTTGAAGCTTACTTCTTTTGCAGAATCATTGCCATTTCTGTTTGAACTTGAATGTATTCCCTTGCAAGCTGCAAAAGGTATTATGATGGTAACTCAATCCATTAAAAAAAACAGACATCTTTAAATAACATACAATGAATCCTAAGAACAATTTGAACTTAAACAATTACAGGTAATTATACTCAAATTTTCATGTTAAGTGTTACTGGTTGGCTTTGCCCAGTTTAGTACAAAAACGAAAAAATTAAGAAATTCCTCTAATGAAATGTTCCCCTCAGATAACTTCTTATGACTATGTGTATTGGTATCATCATTAAGGATTCCAATGCAAATGGTCTATGCAGCAGCAAGTACATCTGTCCACTTTCAAGCTACAGTGTCTATCAAGAGAGCTCAATCTGTAATTTAAAATTTCATTTTACACGAATGTACAGATATCCACCTTTATATGCTCCTCGTAAATTGCCTGTGACTCTGGAATTGCAGGGTTTGGTGCAATAGGCTGCAGGGAAAACAACAACAACAACAACTATAATCAACAATTATTCACCAAAGTGCAGGTGAATAGTGGTGGATATTTATCATGAAACAACCAGGTAAATATCCACTTTCACTCACACAGAGGTGAACACTGGTAATTGTTTTAGTACATACTTCACAAAAACCCCCAAAAATAGTTTGCTTCTATCTCTATACAAAAAATGGTCCAAAATTAAAATTTTCGATGAGCAATAATGACTCCCCAACAGCTTGGAGGTGAATTGTACTTGCTAATCACTTCCAAACCAGCCAATAAGGACATGCAGAAAGTACTCTTCACCTTTGTGGTAAGAGATAAGGGTAAAAATATTAAAGTATCTAAACTATATGTGTTAAAATGATTCCATTCATTGTAACAAAATAAATTTAAAGCATTTTTTTTCATGACTTAGACTATAACCATATTGTTGATGGTTTATAGAGTAACACATTGAAAAAGGGAAATGTTTACTCTAACTCCACAGGAAGGGAATAGTCATGTACTAAATACATTAAAAAAAACACCTTACTGTAGAATGAAGTAGACATATAGTACTAATATATTACTTATTGAGGTACCTGCAAATGGGTAGCCAAAGTCTGTAGAATACTTGGGAACCCTGATTGATCTGAGTCAAAAGAAAAACTAAATTTACAAAACAGTACATAAAAGTCAAAACTATTACTGAAAGAATGAAAAGAACGAACCTTGTTCACGTCTCCGTGCCAAAGGGCTCTTCTTTTCTCCACTGAACTTCCTTTCTGGAGAAGACACAGATCTTGTCATAGGATGAGGATGGTTGTGTGTGTGTGGGGAACTCACAGGCCAACTTGTCTTCCTGTCTGGGTAAGGACTGCTGGTTCCTGAACTTGATGGACTGGAAAATCCAGATCCCACAGCATGAGATCCCTGTGAAGAAGGGCCGCTGGAATTAAAGCGCACTCTATTGCTATGTTCTGGAGGGTCAAGATCATTCTGTAGGGCCAGCCGTAGTTCTTCCATGTCCAAACCATCAGGTGGCTGTGGTGCATGAAAGCCCGACACAGGAGTATTTCTAGGTACTGATGGCACAGTGCTTGATGTGGGCATTTGCAATGGACTAGTACTGGTTGGTGTGGATAAGGCATAGCTAGTGGCAGGGGGGTACATGGTGTTTGATGGGTAAGCCCCTTGCTGACCATAATTTGGGGGAATAGGACTGGGAGATTTGTATGGGGATGTTGCACCTCCCAGAAAACCAGACCCTGAAGCCTCAGAATAGATCAGTGGTTGTCCTGTTGATGGAGCTGTAGACATAAGGCTACCAGGTGGATAAAATGGTGCCTGCTGCATTCCTCCACTTGGTTGGATGTCTGAAGTGTAATTTGGATAGTAACCAGAACTGACAGCAGGACTCACTGGTGGATAGGAAATTCTTGCACTTGAAGCCTTCACTGGGCTCACCTCAGATGGCAATGGAGATGAGGTCATCAAGCTAGAGTTTGAGCTTGGAGAAGCCGATGCTGGAACAATTTTGATTGGCTCAAAATTAATACCTGGAACTGGTCCAGGTAAAGGGCTCACTGGAGCTTTTCCCGTCCTGTGACTGGTCCCTCCAGAATCTGACCGCTGTCGCACAAACTGAGCTGTAGGACTCTTGTTGTCAACTGAGATAGTAATGGTTGGAGAGGCTGCACGGTGAGGACTTTCATATTCACCCTCCAAAGGAGATTCACCTTCTAATTTTCCTGGGACTGGAGTTTCATCATTTTCTTTTTCCTCATCCTCAATTTCATAGGAACCTTCTTCATCACTCTCAGTAGATGGCTGACTCTTGATTCCGATGACAGTGTCACTCAATGTGCTACCCTGTGTGGACATTTCCCCACCATTCTGATCCATTTCAGGGCTTAACAGAGACAGGTCTGAGCTTGTGCTGCTTTCATCTGTGCTTGTACTTGAAGTTCCAACTGGAAAAACAAGGCAAGTATCTGCACCTGGAAAGAACTATTCAGAAAAACAGTTACTTTGGAACAATTTTACAACCTACAAATATCGAGAAAGTCAATGTGCCACCTTTCATCTCTTAGCAAAGACATCAATTGAAACAAAGTCATGTTTGATCATTCCTCAAGAATATGAAGATTAGCTTGAAGGTAACTGGCATAGCAAAGCAGTGAAGACAGCTACAAAACTTGCTGTTGCCTATATAAATGTTAGAAGCAATACCCTCCCATAAAGTAATTGATCATCCCTAAGCATAGACTGTACTCATAACAAACCAACATTATTTTGTATGACAAAATGGAATAACGTCAACTGTGGCGAAAAAAAACTCTTCTCAAAAGAACTCTGTTCTTACTTGCACTAAATGTTGAAGTATGTGAACAATTCTTGTAAATGATGGTCTCTTTGCTGGCACCTTATCCCAGCAGCTACAGATTGTAAAGATTGAGAAATAAAAATGAGTCAATGATAATGATAACTGATAAACAAGGACTGAAAACTAATAGTATCAACTTACTAATAAAGTATTTAACATCACCACAAAATGGTATATTTCAGATAAAGGTTTCCAAACATTTCATTGAGTTTAAAAATTCTAAAAGCACAAATACATGGACCCAATTTTCAATAGTTAAGAAAGTGTAAAATGGCTAGCAAATGAACAGCTTCCAAGAAGAGGATCCAGAGGATGCAAGTAACATTGATATTTTAATGTAGTAATGATAATAGCTATAAAAAATATATCAATGTGATGTATTATAAAAACTCAATTATATCAATAATTACAATATCAATATTAATATTTAAAGATATGCTAAAAATCTTTAATATATAATACATGAAAAACAGATTGTGTTGCAATTCCTATAGCGCTAAAAGTACCTTGGAAATCTCTGTCAATTGTTCCCCTACCTTGTCATTAGATCTTCAATTGGTTTTGGAATATTTGCTATTAAAGGAGGCCTCGTTCCTACAGAATAATACAATGACCAAGATGTAAACATATGAAATGAGCTAATTTTTGTTTAATAACCATTAATAAATCACATAAAATGTGAGACAATAAATGCTTTAAAAGCAACAATGTTTTGGAAAAAAAAGCACAAGGTCCTGTTGTTCACTAGTATTCTTTTTAGCTTTTATGAAAAACACAATTTCACCCACCATTATGAACAGCCCACATTATTCTGAAAGCATTGAATCCAGACATGTCCTCATAAGGCTTACGGCGAGTAATCATCTCCCAAAGGATTATACCAAAACTAAAAAACACAAAATGCCTTTGTTAAATTCACCTCAACTTGTAAGCTACAAATAAACTCTTTATATGAATAATTAAAAAGTTAGAGCAATTTTTTTTAGTGAACTATGTTAAGTTTCTCTATTGAATATTCGAACAGCTGAAGTAGGCCATTGCTTAGAAATGGGATGGAGCTGGGTTCCAAGACACCTGACACATTTTCAGGCAGGATGGAAAGGTGATGAAGTTTTGATAGACTTCAAAGTAATTATAAAACAGAAACTTAATATGAACACTACTTTAGCAGTAACACATACCTGAAAACATCACACTTCTCTGTGTAATTGTTACCTGAATAAAATTAACATCACATTAATCACACTGAAACAAACCAGCTATTCAGCTACAACTGTCAGAAACATATTAAAAGGTGTGGCAGCATCCATCCATCAAAGAATTAGTGTTAAAAAATGCAAAGTAACAATTTTATGACACAGATCTAATACACTGTTAACTTGCATACCTTCAAACACTTCAGGAGCCATCCACGCTGCACTTCCCTTGTTGTTTGTCATGTATGTTTTCATGTCACAAGCTGTTCCAAAATCACAAATCTTTAAAACAGTTCCACATTTTGTCAGCAACAAACTGAAAACAATAATTTATCATTACATTTCAAGAAAATAAATGAGGCCATGATGCACAAAAATTTTACTCCAGGATCAATTCCATCAATCTTTACATCTGCTTGCTCAACATAGCCTCCCTATAGCACTGTTGAAAGCCATAACTAAGAAGCTCCATAAAAACAGAAGTCATGTAATACAGCGATAACAACACAGTGTACTGTTTAAATTGCATACTTTGGAGGCTTGAGGTCTCTGTGGATAATTCCTTTGGGTTTGATTCCATGTAAATATTCTACTCCTCTTGCACACTGGAGAGCCCAGCTCATCATATGAGAGGCTGTGTAAATTGGTGCACATCGTGATGAAGGATGTTGCCAATGAAGTACTGAAATTTCACAAATAGAAAGAAAATTCAGAATGAATTAACCCTTCTCAATTCCCCCAAAATTTTAGCCCTTAGAAAGTAATAATAAATCAAACAATATCTCATGCCCATGATTAATAATTTTCTTTTATTCTTGTTCTTTTCTCCTCAATGATATAATTTGATGTTAAATGAGAAATTCCTTCATGGTCACTTTTAGTCTTATCATGTTTTTAATTTCAAATTTTTCCTCAAGGTTTCAAATTTTATACACCCTTTTGACTGCTATTTCTGCTTGTTGAGAAAATGATCAAACCTATATCAAAATTCTTAAACATGATTAGTTATAAACAATTTGAGCACTAATAGGACAATGTAGACATCATGCTTGTAATTGGACAACTTGTAGTTGGACTTCGCTGACCAAATTAGGCTCCACTAAGCCCTAATACCAAAACTTATCATAAATAAAAACTGAAAGGGTGTTAAAATGTAACTGGTTTGGAATATATTCAATTTGGAAAATGTTTAAACCACAACATTATCAAGCAGTGATACTGTGCACACATTGATATTCTTACAGTTGTAAAGTGAGCCTCCTTCAGCATACTCCATGACCAGACATACCTACAGAAAGTATACCAATGAATTATGATTACAGTTCTTAAAAGCTGCCTCACTTGGGGCTACCAATAAATCTGTAGAGTAGAACTTACAGGATTCTGGGTGGTGCAGACACCATACAACTTGATGATATTATCATGACTGATACGAGACAGCTGTTGAACCTGTTAAAAAGAAATACCATGAAATTCATCTCAACTTGGCAATTGACAACAAAAGGTATCTCTAAAGAAAATTTTACTAATTTTCCAGTCTCTATCCCATTGCAGCCCCTATGAACAGCACTAGATAGTACTAATTGATATATGGAAATTATACAATGTATGTCAATTTGCCATATCTAATAATGATATCACTGACATTAACTTTAACTAAGTTACATACACAGTATTTTTTTTAGTGAAACTGTTTCATTTACCTCAACACTAAATGCTTTCTTTTCTGCTTCAGTTTCAATTGTCTTGACAGCAACAACAAATCTCTGTCTATATATTGCCTTGGAAACAACCCCAAATGCACCTCTTCCAACTGTCTGTAAAGCAACAAGAAAATGTAAGTTTATTTAAACAAACTCCTTTTATTTCACATGTAGGAGTAACTTACAAACTTTCAAAAGGTAGGTCAGTAATCTGTTGAGAGACTGTCAGTAGTTTACTAACAGTTGGCTATTTATGGGCCATACAGTCTGACAAGGTAAGTACAGACATAATTAATGTTACCTATTAAAAAAAAGAGCCACTGAACACTCAAGTGTCAATTCTAGGAAGAAAAGGCATTTTGATACCATGATTTCACACCAAAATAGAGAGGAACCATCTGACAAATGTGCAGTTCTAAAGGGACTGATTTATTTACTTTCCTTTCAAAGGTGGCAGAGAAAGGAATAGAGTTCTGTAAGCCACCTTCAATAAGTTCAAACATCAAGCACTTTTACGGGAAGAAATAACAAACAAAGAAGTTCTTCTAGTATTTTAATTTCTTAAGTTTGATTAGAACATGCATGGTTGCAGCAATCATAGGTTTGTGAAATTTCTTGAATTTTTCCTGACTTTTCCCAGACAAATGTATAATTTCCCTGATCAACTGAATTAATGATTTCACAAACTGAAGGAGTCCTGTTAAAAGCCTTCAATCTCCCACCTCAGCTATCCTCTCCGACCATAAGTTTATGCTTTTAGCTAGTCACTTACAGAGCACACCAACTAATAGTTCCTAAGGTACAGGGGATGACAATATGTTTTCCTCTGAAACTCTACATCAGCTTGTTCTTCAATTTCATTTTACAACATTCTACCAATTCAATACCTTTCATGTCCGTAAAATGTACCAAAGAAATTAAAATGTCAGATATAAGTGAAAAAAAGGCAGAAAAAGATAATAAATTATTTCATTCACAAACCAACTTAAGTTTGTGGAACCATGTAAAAATAGGGGTGAAAGTCTAACAAATCTATTGGAATGTAAAACAGAAAATAGAAAACCAACAAACCATATCTACTGAATCAGTCAGCTTCAACTCATTCTGAGTACATAAATGTTCTTTTATCAAATCTGTTCCACAATGTCTTTCATCTCCTCTACAAATTATCTTAATGTATCCACTCATTTGTCGGTTATGACCCATGATGTAGGATTTTCATAAGAAAAAAACTACATTTCAGAGACTTTGGTCATGTTTAGCTCATGTGTTTCAGACCAAGATCATGTGCTTTTGTATTCATGCAAAAATAATTCAAAGAAACTGAGTTACAACAGTGTTTGCTCCAAGTGACTAGCCAATCATAGTGCTTACTAAAGAGGCCTACAGTGAAGCTGGATACTAGGGTCAAATAGAAGTTTCCTTAAGACTGGGGAACCAAAATACTACCATAGGCTCAACATGCCCTGCTGTCACACTGAGTTTGTATATTATTCAAAACTAAAAAAATGGCTGTACGGATATCTACAGGCCTCCGCTATGATAATGATAAACAGTTAAATACTTCCGTCGTAAAATTGTAACAAGTACAAACTCAATCAATTTGATTACTTCAAGATCAATGCGTAAGGAAGAAATTAAAGATAAAATGATAATTAAGTAAATGACTTTTCCTTTGAGATTTAATGACTACGATTTAATTTATAACTCTTCGGCATCTTGTAGCACCATCGAAGCACATGATCGCTTGACTACTGAATTGCTCATGTATGCATGTTTTTCGTTAAGTTTGATAATCATGTATATTTTTACCTCGATTTGCTCAAGTTCTGAACTATCAATTTCTTCCACAAACCCGGGCGGAGAATCGGGTTGAAGATCGTCTTCGTCGTCCATTTTAAATCTTCTAGAAAACAAAGTGCAAAGCCATGGTTAGTTACCTCAAATATCAAATCTGTTTTACTTCTTTCGCCACAGAGGAGGTTGAATCGAAAGTAGATTGTCTACTCATGCATCCGCAATGACTAATCCAAATTTTTTGTAGGATGAGTTAGAAGACCCCCGAAAATTAATATCGTGGTCAATAAAAGTTGTTTCTCTGTTCTTGAGATATTTACAATCACTTTGAAAGCTCAAAATTACCTTACAGTCAGGAAGGTTGAGGTCGCTCATGTGACAGCCGCCATATTTGTTTTAGCAGGGCCAATACATATCCCATGATTCAATGGGAGATATAGGCGCCAAACGAGCATGCTCGATCTACACTTTTAAACGGTCTCTCAAGTTTTATACTAATAGAACACATCCCATCACAACATTTTGGGTGAGTCTTAAGGTAGGTTTCTTTGAATACTAACACTGAATCAGAGTTACCGTTTTTCTAGTGACATAGAATGTTTGATGAGCCCTACCGTAGTTTTCAGACGGGGTCTTCATGTTGTAGACATTTGGCAACCTGGCAGAGAATCTTCGATTAGTTCCGTCCGCCCAGACCTGCTAATATTTAATTGTGCTAAACTTCGCCTTGTGTTTATTTGCATTGATTCAAGCATTCGATGACATCTAACGTAACTAACAAGTCCAGTATACAATATGCGACGGATTAATCGTAAATGTACCGTAGGAAAAAATTGCTGGAAAAGTCGCAAGGCGAGATCGAAAAATTCCTATTGAGGATTGTCTGTTAAGTTGACTTATTTTCATTACTTAGTATTTTACACTCAAGGAAATTAATCTATTATGTATTAAAAAAAAATCAGGATATTGTGGCAGACATCATTTAAAGGTGGTTTTTCAAGACAGTTTTGTTCTGAATGACCCTGTCAGTAGTTATAGATGATCTTGCAGGGAGCGGTTTAGAGGTTAGGTACCAAGGTGCATTGGGCTGACAAAATTTGTTTTGCTCCACAAAAAATCTGTTTCCCCCAAGTTTTCAATTTGTCAATGACAGGTGCACTGAAAAACAGCAAAATATTTGTTAACCACCTGATGTCAATTTTATGCATCAATAAATCGAGTAGTACCTGTACCTTGAGATTTAGCTTTTAAAAATGAAAACTTGGGAGCCATTATAGTTGTATTATGAGTATCCTCAGTACTGATCACCATGCAGCATCCTGAGGTACAAATCTTCCATCTGCACCGTTTGATTGCTAAAAATTATTAAATTATAAATTTGGCAGAATCTGCCAGAAAGACTCACATTTAATAAGTAGGATCAAATTTTCTTGATTGAGGTATTCCTTTAAATTGTGGTTTGTAAATTGAAAATTCTGTTAGATTTCATGCCTGGCAAAAATTTGTCTTACTACAGGGTGTGACAGCAGTGTCTTTGAAGATTGGTAAGGCTTGTAAAAATTTGGTAGAATAAAAAATCATTAGGTGCATTTGTCTCACTGAACTGATGACAAATCTCTTTGCAAGATAAGCAAAAATTTGCCTTGTGTGCTCAGGCCATAATACTCTCAAAGTCAAACATAATCAAACTAGAGATTTACATGCAGGGAAGCTTGTGATATAGATAAGTCAAGTGAACTTTTTATACTGGAATATTGAAGTGATATATATTTTCCAGGCCTCTTGTAAAGATGAGCCTTTCTGAAATCTGTGAAAATGCAAAAATGGCACGTGAATATGCCCTGCTTGGTAACTACGACACATCCCTAGTGTACTACCAAGGAGTGATCCAACAGATACAGAAGCACATTCAACAACTGAAAGATGATGCCATCATGAAACAAGAATGGCACCAGGTAAGTTTTGCTCTTATAGGGGAACATTTAGATATCTGATCAGTTTTTCATAATGGCAGGAGAAGATCATTGCAAAAACAGAATGGAGAGGGTAGCAAAAAAGGCATTCAATAGACATGATCAATTCACTGGACTGACAAAGCAGTGATGTGTCATATCATACTTAAGCCTGGAAATTTTGTCCCCTCTTGAAGACTGATATAATGATTCTTTTTCCTTTTATTTATATTGTATTCCTGATCATTTAATTTAGAGGGTCTTTCTTTTTGGGTACATTTGTTATACTGTGTAAGTAAAATTTCTGTTGTGTTTTAAGGTTCGTCAAGCAATTGTCAAAGAGTATGACCAAGTTAAAGAAATAAATCAAACACTGGCAAATTTCAAGAAGGACACAGTACATTTTGGAGGGCCTCGGCGATCCCATGAAGAGGAGCCTACAAGGGATCCTGATGTCTGGCCGCCACCCACTCCAATAGAAAGAGACAACAGGTATGCTGTAAAAAAACCTCTGTCGCTATGTGATAGATCAAGTTTAGATGTTGACAACAGGTATGCAGTAAAATTAACTGTGTCCCAGTGTGATAGATCAAATTTAGATAGAATAGGTATGCTGTAAAATAAACTGTGTCCTTGTGTGATAGATCAAATTAGCTATATACCAAATCATGTTTAGGTTAAAAGAAAAAAAAAACAAAAAAACTTCCAGATAGAGTTTGTAAGAGTAGATCCACAAAATGAAAAGAGGACTCTGAAAAAGATAGCAAGAGTGTAGCCTTATACTTAGCCTTTCACTCAAAAGGTGAAGTCTAGAAACAAGCTTATAAGAGAAAAGGAGGCAGTTACGCCCCTTCTCAAAGGACCCTGCTCAACCAGGATGCATTGCAGGGGTAGTAAACATTCTCAACTTTTTTTGTATAACAGAAAAGGAAAGCTGCCTTGTGTGTAATATTTTTGGAATATATCTTTGCAGTCTTGATTAGGAACTGGTTTTTTATACTGCCATTTACTTTCTTTACATGTACATCATCTATCTGCCACGTATTTTTGTCATTTTCATTCTGCATTTGTGACAATGACGCCATCAAAAACAGGACATCCTGCAGGGATGGAAGGCTGCCACATTATGTGGCCTACTAGATCAATTTTAAAAGCATGTAATGAACATTAGACAGCTTCAGGATTTGGCCAAAAAAATGAGCAGTGAGTTTGAAGAGGTCCTGCTGCACAGAATTTCAGAGGAAAATCAAACAGAAAGCTCTTCTCTGCACTTGGGTGACTGTTAGACAAGGAAACAATTCCATCAATAGAAAGCCTTATCCCATGTTAGTTTTGGAGTAACCCTTCTCTCCTGGTGCAATCAAATTCAGCAAAACATTTCTCAAAAATTCCATCTTGGTATCCTCGATTCTTTAAGCATATTTGAAACACCACATGTTTATATTAAACATGAAGTGTGACAAATTTATTCATGGGAGGCATAGCACTTCTCCTCTTAGGAATCCTCTTTTTGTCCCTGGTGAATGACATGAATGAAAATTCAAGTATTGGAAGGTCTCCATCTCTTTGAAATACATTTGGATGTCAAGGGTCAATTCCCTGTTAAAGTTTGCTTTTGTACACTTTTGTGTCAAGAATATTATTTCTAAGTCTGATAACTCAGCCAATAGTGATGGTATCATGGTACAGTGAACAGTTGCTGTTTTCCAGTCTTACAAATTCTTCAGTTTTGCTTTGGGTTTGTTCCACAAACAGAAAATGTTGTCAATGTACCTCTTCCAAATTAATGGTTTTGTTGTGCTCTGGGTGATAAAAAGTATCGAGTTCCCAGATAATGACAGTAACAACTGCATGTAAAGCACAGTGGTTGAGCATGGCCCTTCAACCTACCCTTAAATCACAAAGAGAGCTATTCCTTCCTTTATTTACTTATTAACCCATGTTGTTCCAATTTTTGGGTCAACTGAACATTTTCTTTGGTGAGCATTTCCTGGTTTTAGATGGCCAAATAGTGATTTTAAGAATGGTCACACTTGGAGCAGTGATGTACAGAGTTTCTCTTATTTCAGTGAGCAATTTTTTCTCCAAATAACAGATTAAAGAATATGTTGTTTGTAATAAACCTGCAACTTTTGTCCACTACTGGTTTCCACTGTAGACCCTCCAAGCCAGCTCCTCGACCTGTTGTCAGAAAGAATGATGATTACAATCCATCAGTAGGCCGCCCATCTGCAGCACCAAGCAAGCGCCCTGATCGAGACCGAGGTGGAGATAGAGATCGAGCTGGAGATAGGGGAGGACGCAAACCAGTTTCTGCACCCAGTGGCAAGCCATCTCGTGATGCAAGGCCTGCAGACAGAGGGCGTGCCCAGTCAAAGGGGGACAAGGATAAGGGAGGTGCCAAGAAAGAACAAAAAGTAAATCATCTGCTTTTTCACCATTTTTGTCCTAATTTTTTTCCTTTTTTTAATGACTTTGAAACAAAAAAAGTACAGTGAAACTCATGGTTGTAAAGAACAGATTGATTAGTGAAAGTCTAAACTTGTCAGGAATCTGTGAGCTCACCAAAGGTACAACTGTCTAAGCTGTTCCTGGAAGACAGGTTTTGTTGCCAGCATTAATGCTACTTTTTTTCCCCAATGTCGCGTAGTTTATTTTTCTAATCATGGTGAAGTTCTTAGAAGAGAGTATAAGCTTTGTTTTAAAACAGTTTTGGGAATTATTACGTTCATAGCCCTCAGGTCACAGAAAAAACTACTCAAATCTGTATATTTTTGTGCAGGATGATGGTAAAGGTGAAGGTGATGGTGATGGTGAGAAGAGATTTGATGGGAGTGGTTATGATAAAGACCTAGTTGAGGCCTTGGAAAGAGACATTTTGCAGAAAAATCCTAATGTACACTGGTATGTTATTCAGCTCATAACTAGTGTTTTGGCAGATTTGAATTCCAATTTTGTTATGTCTTCAGAGTATTTGACCATTACATCTATATGCCATTGTCTCTCAGTTTTTGTGTACTTAGTTTTTACTCAGTTATCTACTTAAATTTTTTTTCTTTTTTTAATGCAGGAGTGACATTGCTGGACTAACTGAAGCTAAAAAGCTATTGGAGGAGGCTGTGGTACTTCCCCTTCTGATGCCAGATTACTTTACTGGTATTCGCCGTCCCTGGAAGGTACACAGATGTCGTCTGTCAAGTGTCTTTGAGCCATGGGAATTGAGGAA